GTGATCTGGGCTCAGGAGGGTGGGAGGGTCCCGCGGCGGTGGCCTGGGGCTGGGAGGAGTCCCGCGGCGGTGGCCTGGGGCTGGGAGGGGTCCCGCGGCGGTGGCCTGGGGCTGGGGTCGCGTCCCTGTTCCCTTGGCGGAACTCACGGGATGGGGCTTCGTTGACCCTCGCCGCTCCTCTGCAGTGGGCCACGCAGTGCTGGCCATCAATGGCAAGGACGTGAACGGCAAGTACACGGCCGATGGCAAAGAGGTGCTGGAGTACCTCGGCAACCCTGCCAACTACCCCGTGTCCGTGCGATTCGGCCGGCCCCGTCTCACCTCCAATGAGAAGCTCATGTTGGCCTCCATGTTCCATTCGTAAGTCCTCCAACCCTGCCTAGTGCCTCCTGCCTGCCCTGGGCTCTTAGGCTGGCGGGTTGGTGTTGCTCCGTGGGCAGGCGGTCTCCTGAGCGGCAGTGCTTACCTTTCTCTACTTTTAAGTCGTTGATTCTTGTGTTAGGAAAAGAACAACTGATTCAGTTCGGCCAGGTTTTAGGTAGTACTGGCATTGGTGTCTGTTGCGTAAGTCAGCTTCTCTGAACCTCAATTTTGCCATGTTCATAGTAAGGCAGTTGATCTAAAAGATTTTTAGGATCTTTTTCTGTTCTCAACCACAGTATGAGCTGTGGTGGGTATGCTAGCCTCGGGTAAGTAACATTCCCATTGTGTTTTTTTTTTTAAATATATTTTATTGATTTTTTACAGAGAGGAAGGGAGAGAGATAGTTAGAAACATCGATGAGAGAGAAACATCGATCAGCTGCCTCCTGCACATCTCCTACTGGAGATGTGCCCACAACCCAGGTACATGCCCTTGACCGGAATCGAACCTGGGACTCTTCAGTCCGCAAGCCGACGCTCTATCCACTGAGCCAAACCGGTTTCGGCAACATTCCCATTGTTAAGTTTAATTGATTTCAGAGAGGAAGGGAGAGGGAGAGAGAGATACTAGTAGAAACATCAAGGATGAGAGAGAATCACTGATGGGCTTTCTCCTGCACACCTCCTACTGGGGATGGAACCCACAACCCCGGCATGTGCTTTGACCTGGAATCGAACCCTGACCTCCTGGTTCATAGGTCCACGCTCAACCATTGAGTCACATGGTGGGCCCCAGTGTTAACTCTACCCAAAGTTCTTAATGTAAAATATTGTATAGCAAAGTATGAATATACAATAAGTCCTCACATAACCTCCTCAGTGGGTTCTGCAGCAGTAAGCAAAAGGAGGTACAGTTAACCTTGAACCACAGGGGTTTAGGGGTGTGAGCCCGACACAAATAACTTTTGACTTCCAAAACAACTACTGTCATCGCTGGTGTCTGCAGGGGATTGGTCCAGGGCCCCTGCAGACACCAAAATCTGTGAATTCTCTAGTCCCTTGTAGAAAATTGAGTAGAACAGGCCCTGGCTGGGTAGCTCACTTGGTTAGAGCATCGCCCAGATGCCAAGATTGAAGGTTTAATCCCCATCAGGGCACATACAAGAATCAACCAGTGATTGCATAAATAACTGGAACAAATCAATGTTTCTTTCTCCACCCCTCCCTCTCTCTAAAAATAAATCAATAAATAAAACAGCATACAACAATGCAGACAGTTGGCCCTCTACATCCAGGAATCCCCTGCTATGGATTGAAAATACTATTTTTGATCCAGAGGTGGTTGAATCTTTGTATTTGAAACCCTGGGATAGGAAGGCCGATTATATATTTTTTGGGAAAAATTGTGTATAAGTGGACCTGCACAGTTCAAACCCATGTTGTTTAAGTGTCAATTGTATCATGAAACCTGTTTTGCCACAGGTCAATTGATAGGAACAAAAGTTCCTACAGCATCTCATCAGTTAAAATAAACGATGTTATTTGAGGACTTGCTGTAAAATCCTTGCAGAATTCGAGTGAACTTTAAAGAAATTTTGTTCCCGCTGCCCGTTCTGCCTGCCTCCAGCTGTAATGTGAACTCAGCAGAGAGGATCACTTCAGTGGGAGGTTTGGGGAAGCACTCCTCCCTGACAGCAGTGGGTGCATCCCCAGCTTTGCCTCCTTTGCAAATAGGCTGTTCGCAATCGGCTCCCAGCTGTCTCCTGAACAGGGCAGCTCAGGCATTGAGATGCTGGAGACAGACACATTCAAGCTGCACTGCTTCCAGACCCTGACAGGTGCGTCTCCAGATAGGCCCAGGGGATGCGGTGGGATGGGGGGAAGGGGTTGACCACAGCTTTGGGAAGCAGTGGGATGGGGGTGGCATGGACACATCTGTGTGTTTTGTGAATCCAAAGCTAGTTAATATTTAATCTGACACTGATCTTGTCCACACCACCCAGTGTACTCAGCCCTGGTTATCTTGTGCACACGTAAAACTCACCTTAATGTTATCTCATGTTGCACACATTTTGGAAGGTGTAAGTGTTGTTTCTAAATGAAATTTGAATGCCAAGTGGTGACCTTTGGATCATGAGTTCCATTGCTTCGCTCCCTTTTAATGCAGATAATTGAAAATTGCCTGAGTTTGTCCCCTGCCTGGCACTTTCTGCTGAGGGACCCCCAATTCCAGAAGTAAGTGATAGAGCTAAAACTCAAGCCTCATCTCAGTCAGCTGAGTGATGTGATAAAGTCACGTCAACTCTTGGTCTCGCTTATGGATTTAAAATCTTGCCTTTCTGCTCTGTGGAGCAATTAGAGATAAAACGAAAATGGGCTGATGAAAGTGCTGTGCAAACACAGGATGACGTTTGTGCCTTCTCTACCCTTTGGTAACCATTCCTGGCCCCTCTCCAGGAATCAAGTTTGTGGTGCTGGCAGACCCTAGGCAAGCTGGAATAGACGCTCTACTCCGAAAGATTTATGAGATTTATTCAGACTTTGCCCTCAAGAATCCATTCTACTCCCTGGAAATGCCCATCAGGTAGGTAGTCCCACTCCCCAGATCCAGTTCTTGCCCCAACCTGTGTGCTCTTCTCTAAAGTCACTTTGAAGTGTAATAGGGCTTTTTAAAAATAAAACGAGCGAGTGGCCTTTTACTTATTTAAGAAACCAATGACTTTTCCTTGGAAAGTATGTCCTTCAAGCAGGCACTTCACTGGCTCTGCCTCTGCACCCAAAGCGGGGAGAGCCTTAGCCTCGCACGCTGTCCTTACGTGTGCCTCCTGGGCCTGGTGCAGGTGTGAGCTGTTTGAACAGAACCTGAAGTTAGCCCTGGAGGTGGCAGAGAAGGCTGGAACTTTTGGACCTGGGTCATAGGCTGAACCTGCAACAATCCCCCACCCCGCCGCTGCCCTCCTAAATTCTGAGATCCTGTAGCAGGGGTCTTACCGCGTCCTCTCCAATGGAAGTCCCAGGCACCTTGTTAGTACACCTGAAAGGGAGCGGGGGAGGGGGGCTGAGTTTGATGAGGGTACTAATCCCTGAGCCTTCCTACTATTCTCTTTCCCGTATCTGTCATGGTCCTACTTTCTACTACAGATTTTACTTATGGAGGAGGTAGGCCCATAAGTGCTGTAATAAACATTCCTTTGATCTCAGTGTTTGTGATCCTAATTGATGGTTTTGGGGGAAAGGCCCAGGAGGGGAGACAGAAATGATAAGGGAATTCTGGGGAGATATTCTAATAAAAAACAAACGTGTTCATTAAATGAATGAACATGGGGCCTTGGATCTAGTTTCATAATTGCTACTGACTTCCTAGGGTGGTGATAGTGGTGGTGATGATGATGGAACATTTTCAAGTGTTTACAGCCAGGCTTTACTGCATTGCTGCTTTCTCATTTAATCCTCACTCAGGCCGCAGGGGCTCGGCTCTGTTACAGACCAGAGGGTCAGCAGGTGCTCTGTGCTGGAGTCTCAGAGCCAGTTATCGACAGCTGAGGCTTTCTGACCGCACTCAGCCACTGCCTCCCTCCACTCACTTCTTTAATCTGCGTGAAACCCAGTAGCTCCACCTCTGAAGTTGTCGCAGAATTAAATATACAATGTTAAACTGAGGCGAAGGAGACATAAACTCACAGAAGTCCGTGTCCACTTTCCCATTCCAGGGAATTAGCTCTCACTTCTGGGTGGAAAGAGCAGGCCCCAGAAGGGTATTTCCAGAGAAAGCTGCCTGGTATACATATTCCTTTTTTTTTTTTTAAGAGAGAGTGGAAGGGAGAGGGAGAGACAGAGAGAAACATCAGTGTGAGAGAGACACATTGATTGATTGCCTCCTGCACATACCCCCAACCAGGGCCAGGG